GGGAGTGAATGAGTATGTGTGTGAGTGAGTGAATGAGTGAGTAAATGTGGGAGTGAATGAGTATGTGAGTATGTGAGTGAATGAGTGAGTGAATGTGTAATACACAAGTGAATAAATATGTGAGTGTGTGTATGAGTGAATGAGTGAGTGTGTAATACACAAGTGAATAAATGAGTGAAGGAGGGAGTGAATGTGTGTACAGTGGATGAGTGGATGGATGAATGAATGAGTGGAGGAAGAATCAGCAGAGAAGTAGGATGGCCCAGCCAGTGGAGGAAGCAGAACTCCCTGTAGCATGGGCGAAGCCTTCTTCCCTCCCACCTCGCAGGGGCTGTCTGGATTGGTTCTGGAAGCCCTGCCCTGGAGACCCTGCTCTTTGCAAGCTGGCCAGCATTAGATCACTCACATCTAATCCTGGGGTCCAGATGGCTTATGTCCCCCATACAGAAGTAAACAGCATGGCCTTCCTCAAGGTCAGGTTTCTTCCATTCACTTTCCTTAGCCCCTCGGCCCCAGGTGTGGAGGGCAGTGGGCAAGCAGCTGAGATGGCAGGCTCTGAATCCAGCCATCAGTTCGGATGGTGTCAGAGGGTGGGGCCCAGGCTGACAGGCAGGGGCAGTGAGCATTCAGAGGGGCCTCCAGTCTCCCTGCAATCCTGAGGCATAGAGGACCCGGTGGCAGCTCAGGGGAGTGATGCCTGCTCTAGCATATCTGTGTCCCTGAGTGTCTCTGCCCCTCCCCATCTCAGGCCCTCCTGAGGTGGCTGTGCTCACTGACTAGGGAGGAGTGAGTGAATGACAGGGTCACCACCCTTGGAATAACCTCCTTGAACACCTGCTGTGAGGTATGTGCCCCAGGGGCACCCACCTCTTGGGGGACAGCTGAGCACTGAGGGATGGCTGAGGAGCAGCTTGTGTGCCCATGGCACCCAGGGCCCTGTCTGTCCTGCTTGCTTCACTTCTTTCTCCTGTGATCCCCAGAAGGGGCTGTGTTGGTTCCACCTTCTAGATGTGAAAGCAGGGGCCTGTGGAGCCTGCCCAGGCTCAGAGGGCTATGAATTGCCAAGCTGAGCTGACTCCAGAGCTGACCCCTCACTTCCCTCCCCTCAGGCCCCAGGCCCCGAGATATGTCATTGAGGAAATTATAACTAGATGCACTAAGTGGCACATTGCTGGCCTTCTGGCGGCCAGGATGGGTGCAGCCTCCCTCTGGAAGGCCCCAGGCCCCAGGGGCAGGCCTGCCGATTACGGGCTCCGAGTGGGCGGGAGATAGGCAGATGAGAGATGTTCACAGACAGCCCCTGCTGTGACCCCTGACCTGGGGGCCACCGGGCTGCCTTGGTCCTTTTCCGTAGACCCTGCACATGCCAGGCTATGGTAGTCACCCTGCTCTGGGACAGGTAGGGAACTGGGCAAAGTAGAGCCCTGCCATGGATGTTGAGTGGATAGATGCTGTGGGCACCATGCAGAGTGGCTGTGTGGCTGGACGCCCAGCTTCTTGGTGCAAACCCTGCTCTGTCCTCTGCCCGCCTACCTGACAAAGTAGTTCAGCACCTCTGTGCCCCAGTTTTCCCGCCACTAAGCCTCATGTACCACAGTAGATTCCCCTGGGCTGTTGTAACAAAGTATCAAAGACCAGGTGGCTTCTGACAGCAAAGAAATTTATTCTTCTCTCACAGTTCTGAAGGCTGGAAGTCCTAAATCAAGGTGTCACAGGGTGGGCTCCCCAGAGGGTCTGTTCCAGTCCTCTCTCGTGACTTCCCATGGTTTCCAGCAATCTGCGGTGCCCCAGTGTCTGCCTCTATCATCTCGGGGCCTCCCCTTGTGTCTCTGTCTGAATTTCCCTCTCACACACACCCTAGTCATTGGATTACCGCCCACCCTGCTCCTGTCTGATCTCATCTTAACTTCATTACACCTGCAAAGACCGTGTTTCTGGACGTGATCCATTCACAGGGGTGGGGGCTTAGGGCTTCAGCATATCTTTGTAGGGAATACAACTCCACCTGACACCTGCCTACAGGGGGTGTAAGCATTAAGTAGCCTTGTTCCTGGCTCAAAGACGTTCTCTGGAGTTAGCTGTGGTCCCAGCACTAGAGGCCGAAGTGACCCTACTGCACTTTGCAGAGACTGTGCTGGACATTCCCACCCATTTTTCGTTCTGTCTCTCCTGCCTGGTTCCCGACTCATCTCTGTGAAGCAGCCTCAGGGACTGAGTTCTTGCTCCCTGTGCGGTGGGGGCGTCCTGGAAACACCCCACCCTAGAGAAGGCCCCAAACTGTGTGTGGCCTTCCTCCCCACTCCCTACCTGGGAGCAGGGCTGTAGTGAGGGTTGGGATGGCAGAACCCAGGCAGGCTGCAGTCACATTTTATGGAGGTAGTTGCTGAGGCTGGTGTCACCCTGTGAGCCCCTGCTCGGCACTCAGCACTGACCCTCCTTGTCTGCCTGGTGTGGGATTCACTGAGCAGAGCCCACTGCCAGCACCACCACATTAGAGGCTTCAGGCAGCAGATCAGAGTGGGGTGGGGAGTGGATGGAATAAGCCTCTCTCCCAGTCCCCCAACCCCTGAGTTCACCTCCTCTGTCCCTGGCCCATCAGGAGACTGCCATTCCTGGGCACCTGTTGGCAGCTCCAGTGTGTGCAGTGTGTGCGTTAGTGTATTTCCTGCATGACAGCAGCCGTCCTATTTGTTAAGAGGACTAGAGCCACCAGGAAGCACCCCTCAGTGGAGGAGGTATTGTTATCCCAATTCCCCAGAGGGGAGACTAAGACTCAGGGAGTTTAAGCAATTGCCCAAGGCCAGGCAGTTAATAAGTGGGGACTGGGCTTGCGATTAGAGTCCTGGTCTGTCTGGCTCCAGCACTTAGCAGCCAGGGTGGTGAGTGTATGCTGAGTCGCCCGACACCAGTGGGTGCCCCATCACATCTCAGTAAGTTTCGAGTCAGAGACAGACATCATTACCTACCTCTTTATGGCTGTGACACAGGTCTAGACCTAAGTGCCTTGGCCAAGGCCACCCTGGGTAAGTGACAGAACTGAGATTCAAACAGGGCCAGTGGGGCTCTAAACCCACATTTCTGTTCCCCCACTCTGGCTCTGCCCTAGCAACTGTCACTGCCACTGTGCCAGACCTCCCAGCTTGAGTCCTCCCCTGAGTGCCACCTGTGCTTGCCTGCCTGCAGACACCCTCTGTTTGGGCGCAATGTGCCCTTGTCCAGCGGCTCAGGTTTCATCATGTCAGAGGCCGGCTTGATTGTCACCAATGCCCACGTGGTGTCCAGCACCAACGCTGTCTCGGGCCGGCAGCAGCTGAAGGTGCAGCTACAGAATGGAGACTCCTATGAGGCCACCATCAAGGACATTGATAAGAAATCTGACATCGCCACAATCAAGATCCATCCCAAAGTGAGTGGGCAGAGGCTGGGGTGGTGGGTGCCCCAGGCTGGCCATGTGACCTCTTCCCCAGACTCCAGACCCCAGGATGCTCTAGCCCCATCTTCCCAGGGGACAGCTAGAGGAACCAAGGCCCAGAGGGGACAGGCAGTTTGCCCAGGGCCAGGGGTCAAGTCAGACCTGGAACCTGGGTCTCTGGGTGCTAGGTTTGCACTCCCTGAGTCAGCAGGTGCAGGGCATAGTCAGGAGCACATGGCCCACAGTGGGAATTCCACATCACTACCCTGAGCAGGCTCTTTATTGTTCCCTGGGGGCTACTCCTGGGAGTGAAGCTATACCCCTGGGGTGACAGAGGGGTCAGTGTCCCCATTTCTCTGTGTCCATGTTGGCACCTCTTGCTAACAAAGTAAGCAAATCTACCCTAGGGCCCAAGTAACCCTCCCATCACTGCAAGCAGCTGTTTCTACCTGCTCTGGGCCAGGCACAGGCCTATGAGGAATGGCTCTCCCTATCCTGGCATTTCACATAGGGAAACTGAAGCTTGGGGAAGTTAGGGAATGCACCTAAGATCAAGGGTAACTGGGGCAGGGCCAGCCCTCTTAGCTAGGACCCAGGCCTCCTTTGAGCTTGCTCTTGTCATGCCCAAACATTGCAGTTATGTTACTCTAAGAGGCCAAAGTGGGGTTACCTGTGGCCTTTCTATGCCAGGAGGACCTTGAGTCTCATGCCTGGGTCATTTCTGGACTCAGAACTAGCCTCAGGGCTAGCATGGCTGATTCAGCTGAGTTTGAACCTGGCCTCTTTCTGAATTGCATCTGCAGCATTCATGACAAATCTCTTGCATGGAGCTTCCCTCTTACTCCATCAAGGGACAGGAGACTTGGTTGCCAGTAGCTGTCCTGATGTGACCCTTCCTCACTTTTAAGTCCCCTTACAGCTGCTGTTGAATCTGGGGCAGTGCCTCCATTTTAAAGACAAGGAAACTAAGGCTGGGGATGCTGAGAGGTGCACTCAGGGACAGAACTCAGCCAATTTTTCACAAAGTGCCTGATGGTGAATAGTCCTTGTTTGCCCTCTGGTCTCTATCACAACCATGCAACTCTGGCTTTAGTGAGAAGCAGACACGGGACATATGACTGGGTGTGGCCACGTGCCGGGAGAACTTGACTCACAAAACAGGCAGCAGGTCAGTTTTGGCCCTTTGTCTTTGGGCCACAGTTTGCAACTCCTGCTCGAAAACCCCAGTGGGAAGAGAGCTGGATGAGATCCAGGTCTGTCACTCCCATTTTGGTCACTGTGGCTCAATGCCAGAGGGACCAGTGGAGTGGTGTCCCCAGTAGGGCAGAACAGGGTGCCCCACCAGCCAGGGGCAGAGTTAGTAAGCCCTAGGAGTAACTGGTCAGCACCTCCTGCTATGTCCTGACCACAGGACACTCCCTCTTATGGCACCAGACCCACAGGTGGGAAAGACTTCTGACCCTAGGCCTGGGTGGGGAAGGGCTAACCTTCTCAGCTTGCCACCTCCCCCGGGGATCCAGACCTCATTGTCTCTCACTTTCTGGCCACTCAGCATTAAAAATGACACCTCTCTGGGTCCTCACCCTCTGGATGTGCAGGCCTGGTTCCTCCACTAGGGGACCAGCATGTCACCGGCTGAAGCTTCACTTGCCCCACTGGCACAGAGTAGGAGGCCCTTCCCACGCAGACACAGCCTGCCAGTGGCCCTGCATTTCCTCTGCGTTTCCGTCTCACCTTTCTTCTTTTGTTGATAGCTGTTATGAAAAATATCTCTTACGGAAAAACTTTCCATTTGGAGCAGTGGCAAACAACAAAAGGGGAAAGACTGACATAACAAGACTGACATGGCCACAGGCAGTGGGGCTGTCCGGGGGCTGTCCAAAGGGTCCAAGGTTGGGAGTCCAAAGCTGGAGTGAGGCCCATGTGATCCGGACATCTGCAGACACACAGCAAGCTGCAAAGTGGTGCTGAGAGGTCCCACGGGCCCTCCACCAGCTTTCCCCCCGGGAACTAGTGCAAAACCAGCACCAGGAAATTGCTGTGGGTGTGATGGATAGAGCTCTGCCTTCATCCGTTTCATATGCTCGTGTGTTGCTTCTGCATTTTCTGACAAGTGCCTGGGAGCACTTTCTTGGGACACACACTCTGTGCAGCTTTGGGGACCCAGAGCATGGCTATTCTCCAAACTTCCAGTCTAATTGCAGAGTCACATAGGAAGGTTCCACTGGTCCCCTGAAAAAGTAAGAGGCGAGTGTGTGAGTGTCTCAATGTGTGTGTGTGTGTGTGTGTGTGTGTGTGTGTGTGTAGGGGATGGTGGACTTGGCTAAGTTGCCTTACCCCTCTGGGCCTCGGTTTCCCTGTGTATCTATATTGGGAGATCAGATCAAGGATTCCCTGGATCAAGGATGCCAAAACAGGCTTCTAGGGTCTTTAGCTTGGCTCCAAGGGCCTGCAGATGCCCCCCTTGAGTACATCAGTTTATGTGTGGTACATATGGCATCTTGGTATCTGGAACTTCTACCAGATTTTCAGAGGCACCAAGGACTAATGAACCTCTGGGCTCAGGGACCTCTGAGGCCATGGCCAGCTGAAACATCTATGCACCTGCCCACAATGGACACCAGTGGACTCCCCAGGACAGGGGAGTCCTTTGGTTTCTGGCACAGCTGTGTCTCTGCTTCCTGGACTCCAGCCATGGGGCTCAGCTGGAGGCTATCCTGGCCTGGGTTTGCACTGACAACTTGCCTAGGCCTTTCCCACAGTGGCTTTCCCAGCTGCACCTGGGACCACCTGCCAGGCTCTGAGCCTGGTCCCTGCTAAAGAGGGATGGCCAAGCCTTTCTCTCTGTGTCTTCCCCATTCTGTCCTCCAGACAAAGCTCCCCGTGTTGCTGCTGGGTCACTCAGCCGACCTGCGGCCTGGTGAGTTTGTGGTGGCCATCGGTAGTCCCTTTGCCCTACAGAACACTGTGACGACGGGCATTGTTAGCACTGCCCAGCGAGACGGCAAGGAGCTGGGCCTCCGGAACTCGGACATGGACTACATTCAGACAGATGCCATCATCAACGTGAGTGCCTAAGACCCAGGCTCTTCTCAGGCTTACCCCATCCCCAGACTGGTCCCACCCTCAACACACACTACTAGAACGTTCTTTCTTTACATTAAGTGGAACCCAGACTCTGTGACTTTTACCCAGGCACTCTTGGAGTGAGAACGTGCCATTCTGACTCAGATAGGCCTTCAGAGATGGAGAGGCATGGCCCTGGTCCTGGGAACGGCTCTGTCAGATCACACACCTAGGCCAACATTGCTTTTCATGACTGTGATTACATTGGCCGTCACCTTTCACATTCACAGAGCACTTTGCCCAGATTCCTTAGGTGTCCCTCTGGCTTTGCCATGCTTTGGCCTCTGTGGAACCATAGTCTTTATAGAGACTCCCCTAGACTAGCAGGATGGGAAATAGTATCCCAGTCTGCATTCTCCCAGTTGGTGCTGCTCAACCCCGCAACAGTGGTGTGAGCAGATAGCACTAGCTGGTCTGCCCGAGGTCATCAGGTGGGGTCTGCTTTGCCACTTGCCCTCAGCTTTCTTTCTGTGAAGTGGAGACAGCATGGAGGCCTTTTGATGCTGTTAGGATCAGACCTGATTATTACACTAGTTCAGGTCAGGGCTTCAGGCACCCTTGGGTAGGGATTGGGGCCAGTTAATTCACTGTTTCTTCTTGCAGTATGGGAACTCCGGGGGACCACTGGTGAACCTGGTAAGTCTCTGCTTTTCTGGGGTTCTTCTCACATAAGGGGACACAGCCTCAAGGTGGGACAGGACTCACTAAATTGCCCTAGAAACTTCAGGTTCAATAGTCAGGAATGTGGCTGGGCTGGAGGCCTGGAAGGAGGACAGGACCCCATGGCATGTGCCACCTGTACCCTTCAGAGTTGCTGGCGGCTGTCAGGAGTCATTCATGAACAGCAGCCCAGGCCTGGACAGGGAGACACAGGTGTGGGACTGCTCACATGGGCCTCACTGCCCTCAAGTATATGAGCAAGATGTGAGGGGCACCCTCACTCTCTTCCACCCCCTAAATTGCTACTCCCCAGTTCTGTTCTGGGCCCCAAAGTTAGGCTCATCCTCATCTCAGGGGAGATTTTCCCAGGATAAAACAGGAACTTCAGAGCTCCTTAGATACTGTCCTAGCCTGGCAGTTCCGATCCATGGGTAGGATGTGGCCCGATGTGGACAAGCCCCTTGTGATGTGAGCAGTTTGAGCCTGCTCTGGAAGGAGCCAGGCAGGGCGGTTTCCTGATGATGCGGGACCAAGGAGGCTTCCTGGAGGTGGGAGCATCAAGGAACTCCCAGGAAGGAGGCACAGCCTGAGCACGGGGAAGGCTCCTGCAGCTCCGCGGGGAGAGGTCAGACAACGAGTCAGTGCAAGGGGCTGGTGGCCCCTGTCCTGCTGGGCCTCAGCCATGTGTGCAGACAGGATTTACCCTGCACTCCTGAGAAGGCATGTGGGCTTTCAGCAGAGCTGAGGCCACGTGCTGGTTTTGAGAAAGCTCATATGGATGGTTTGCTGGAGCCTAGGAAGCGGTTCCGTGTCATGCTGGTGTGGGGGAGGGTGGACACAGAATCTCAGTCCCCTGGACCCAATACTCTCTGGTCCTCTCAACCTCATGAGTTCCCAGGGACCAGGAGGACAGGGGTGCCTTGATACAAGGCTCTGCTCCGGACCCCAAAGGTGAGCTGGCCAGGCCCCAGCAGGATACTTAATAATACCTCAACCCTGCTGTGGCCAACGGGGCCTCCTACCCTGGAGTGTGCTCAAAGGTGAGGCTCCGGTCCTGGGAAGATCCTGCCAGATGGCACCAGCCTTCTACAGGGACAGAGCAGATGGGGAAGGGTAGGCAGGGCAGAGTGGGAGGTGGCTCCAATGAGACAAAGTGGGGAGAACCACTCGCCCCACTCACCCCCCACTTCTGGAAGGAAAGGATAGGCAGGGTCCTAGTCCCTGATGGGCCTTGCTATGTGGCTCCCTCCCTCTTGCCCCTCTGAATGTGGCCTGGTGGTGCCCTTGGCCCAGCGGGCAGCTGCCAGCTTCCCTGCAACATTTCCCTGCAAGGTGGAGGTGAGGTCACTGACAAGTCATGACCCCAAGAGTGACCGCTCTAGAACAGTTGGGGCTGCCTTGGGAGCTTCTCAGATGGGAGCATGGGCAGTCAGGGTCACCTCTGGAAGCAGATCTGTGCACATGGTGCTTTGAGGGCAGCTATTTGCTTGGGCCCCCTGTGACCCCACCCTGACCTCCCTGCCCAGGACTGTGAGGTCATTGGCATCAACACGCTCAAGGTTGCGGCTGGCATCTCCTTTGCCATCCCCTCGGACCGCATCGCACGCTTCCTCACAGAGTCCCAAGACAAGCACAGCAAAGGTAAAGAGCTCATCTGGGGGGGCAGCTAAGGTGGGGGACACTGACCCAGCGCTGAGACCCACCCTTTGGCTCTGGGGTCAGAGCCTATCCTGGGTTCTGTGTGAGCCTCCTGGGTGAGCCCCTCCACCCACCCTGAAGCCGTGAGACCTGCAGGACAGCTCACTCAGCCTTTGTCAGGATTCATCCTGCCTGTCCTCAGTTCCTGGCCATGATCACTCCCTCTTCCCACCCTCCAGACCACCTGCTTCTGACTGGGGAGCTCTGGTCTCAGCTCCCACTCTCAGCTACTTGGACTTCCTAGGTGTCTCTTGTCCAGCTGCTCCTTCCTTCTACTATCCAGCCATCCTCCTATCCATCCACTCTTCCACCCACCCATCCTCCCATCCATCCATCCTTTCTGCCTGCTTTCTTTCCTTCTTTTTTTCATCCATCCACTCACCCACTCATCTACCTGTTTACCTACCTGTTCATCCATCCACCCATTCACCGGTCCAACTCTCCACTCAACCTTTCTTTCTTTCTTCTACCCATTCATTCATCCTTTCCTTCATCCATTCATTCATCCTTCTTTTCTTCCATCCACCCATTCCTAAGTACCTTCTCTTTCAGCCTGTGGGCCATGCAGACCATCCAGTAAGGTGTCTTCTATTCCAGGGGAGCAAAGTCCAAGACCCTGATCCTTGGAGTCACCCTCCTCCCAATCCTTGTCTCCCCATCCCATCAAAATAGATGGGCAGCCCACACTGCCCCCTCCTAGATGGAGCCATGAGCATCCATCTGGTAGAGGTCTCAACAGAGTGCACAGTGACTCTCTCAAGTGAGAACAGCCCACTCACCTTCTTATGTCAGTGGTCATAGCCGCCACCCAGACCAAGGTCACACTTCTGATCTAGGGCCTTTCCTGGGGCCCAGTGAGCCTCTTCCTCTCACCATTGTGTGTTCCGTGACCACCTCCTGGCCAACACCCATAGCTTGCTCAGCCCAGCTACTCACACCTTCAACTTGCTTCCCTGTTTCCTCCCAGCCTTCTCACCAGCAGTTCATTGAGAGCAGTGGGCTTCCTCCTGCTTGCACCCTCCTCCACAGCCCTGCCACCCCAGCACGTGGAGCCCAGTGCAGCCAGGACTGGTCATGTGAAGAGCTGCTGTGGAAGACTCTTCTGTTTCTTCTGCAGTGTCCCTTGTGTGAAGATGATCCAGAGCCAGGCAGAGCCTGTCTTTCCCAAAGAAGCTGAAGGCTTCTTCTATTGGGCAGTGAGGAGTGTCTAACCTCTTGAGCTCTTTTCCTCTTGGCTTCTAGGAAGCTCAGAACTAGACCCAGGACTACCTTCATATTTGTCCTAGCCTGTTCCTTTCTTTTGTGGCAGAGATTTTCCAGTTTAATGATCCTCTGCTCCATGGGTATCTTTGACTTTGGCTGCTTCCTGGAGATCACTGGTGTACTTTGAATAGACTCAGCTGTGAGGTGACTTCTGTTGGAAGTGGGCCGGTAGCATCCTTTTCCTACTTTCCTCCTCCTCCCTCTCTGGGGCTGGGTTTGCTCCTTTGTTATATAGGGCCTGTCCCAGTCAGCCCCGATTCCCGCCAGGCTGCCAGAAAACACTTGTCCCTGTACCAGAGATTTGTCACTTCCCCAAGGACAGTGCCGACTAACTGAAGAGCCTGACGAATCTTAGCAGAATGATGGACTCTATTATCATTTTTTAAAATTTATTGTTGGGGATTCATTGAGGGTACAAGAAACCAGGACACACTGATTGCATTTGTTAGGTAAAGTCCCTCGTATAATCGTGTCTTGCCTTCCAAAGGTGTGGCACACACCAAGACCCCACCCCCCCCTTCCCTCTCCCTGCTATTCCTTTCCCCACCCCTCCCTCCTTCTTTCTCTCTCTGCTCTCCCCTTCCCCTATCCCCACCATGTCATTAATTGTCATTAATTGAATCTATTATTTTATAATCCTTCTGAAGTTGACTGGTGTTTGTTTTAGCTTTTTTTTTTTTTAATAAAAATATCTAATAATTTAAAGCCAGTTAATCTAGAATTCTTTAAAATGAACAATCTTTTTATTAAATCAAGGAGATGTCACTTGGACTTCTTAATCTCACCAAGGGAGTGGGGTGCAGAGGCCAGTGGGGCAGCTTAAGGGTATGGAGTGACCACCACGCTAGTCTAGGGGAGGCATGGTTCTGCCTCATCCTGGAGCCCCGGGAAGAAGTGGGGTCCAGCCAGTCTTAGGGCTAGAGTGTGTCCCAGTGAGGTGGGGTGTGTGAGCTCATGGGGCTGTCTGCCCTTCCGTGACTGTGGGAGATGCTCCTCTGACCTCGGGAGAAAAACCCTCCTTTATCTCATGTCTCAAGTCGTCTCTGTGGCCTACAAGATGAGGGACAGCTGTAGTGAGCCCAGAGGGGGCACTGAAGGGGGGACACATGTTCCCTGAGTGGTCACAGGTTTCCCCAGGCTCAGAGGTCACAGGATTCTCCAGGTTCAGAGGTCACAGGCAGACTGGAAGCTTACCCCTGCCACTGTGCTAGATGGAGGCCTGAGTCCCTTCCAGGTAGATGAGAAGGTGGGAGGAAGCAGCCCACCCACTCGGCATGAGAGGGGCATGGAGTGGGTGACCCAGCACTTGTGAGTACTCTTAAGGGTCTCCTAAGGCTTTTAAGTCCCTGAGACCTAAGCCCATCTTAAGCCATGGCTTTGTCACCCACATGGTGGGTCTGAGCCAGCAGCACCTGTGGGAAACACTCTGTGCCTGGACTCCCACGCCAGGCAGATGGGGGTGTTTCATTAGTTCCCAAGTACAGTAGAAGCTCCCTAGCTGACCACCTCCCTACACTGACCACCTCCTCAAGTTGACCTAATTTTCACAGACCAGACATGCACCACATGTGTGTATGAGCACAGCAGCACTAGTTCCTTATGTTGACCCCTCCGTATGTTGACCAGTTTGTTACAGTCCCTTGAGTGGTCCTACCATATTTGGAGATTTTCTAGATACCTTTCTATTATTGATTTCTAGTTTAATTCCATTGTGGTCATAAAACTTTTATGAAATGAAAACCTAAAATGTGCTGAGTCTTAATTCATGGTTCAGAATGTTATGGTGATTTCTGTGTCTAAGACACCTGGTAAATTACAGGCTAGAGTAGTGAGGGGGCAGGGGTCCATCTCTGCGACTTGTGTATACCTCACTCCACCCACAGAGCCTGGCATGCAGTCAGTGGTCCCTAGGCACTGTCACTTAATTTTATAATTAGGAGGAAGTCAGGGGAAGGTGATGAACCAGCAGTGGAAGCTGGAGGGGAGTGCCCTGCTGGCCACAGGGGCTGCACTTGGAGCAGTGTTGGGGGAGCAGGTGTTGGGCTGACTTGGTTGGCTGCAGGATGGGGTGGATGTGAGGCCACCTGTGGGTGGGCCACACTAGAGGTAGAACACTGTCTGGCTCTGTGACAGGAGTCAGGAGAAGAGGCCAGCTCTAGGTGCTTGACCACACAGGGACAGGGCTGACGGGGCTGCTCCTGCTGCTTTCTCTCTTGTAGGGGAACTTCTGTCACCTGCCTATGCCCTTAGGGAGGACGGTGGCTTTTCAGAGCAGGCCCGACTAAGTCCCTCCGTGTTTTCTTTCCAGACTGGAAGAAGCGCTTCATTGGCATCCGCATGCGGACCATCACGCCTAGGTGGGTGCGTGCGTGCAGGGCACTTCTCCTGCCCCCACTCTCCCCACCAGGATCCCCCTCCAGCCCCTGTTCACAGCTGCTTCTGACCTGTGCCCAGGCCAGCCTCTCTGCTCAGATGCCTTTCCCACCTTTGCCTGTTAGATTCTTTCTGCTCTGTCAAGACTCCATTCAGATGCCCTCTCCTCCAGGAAGCCACCTGGATTAGTTTCCCATGGCTGCGTAACAAATTACCACAAACCAGGTGGTTTAAAACAAAAGAATGTCCTCTCTTACAGTTCTGGAGGCCAGAGGTCTAAGATCAAGGGGCCAGCAGGGCTGTGCTGCTCTGAGGTGCTAGGAATACCTCCTTCCTGCCCTTCCTAGCTCCTCGTGGCTCCTGGCAGTCCTCAGCTCATGTCTGGACCACTCTGGTCTCTGCCCATGTCTACACCCGGCCTGCTCCTCTGTGTGTTTGTGTCCAAATCTCCCTCTTATTTCTCTAATAAAAACATCAGTCACTGGATTTAAGGCCCAACCTAAATCAAGATGACTTCATCTTAAGATCTTTAATTACATCTGCTAAGACCCTATTTCCAAGCAAGGTCATAATCTGAGGTTCTGGGCATACATGAATTGGGGGGCACAAAATTCTACCTCCCCAGACCACTCAGGTGGGAGGAGGTCCCCCCTCTTGCATGCATAGTGCCAGCCCCCTCCTCACTGTACTGGTCTGACTGGGACAGAACCGCCTATTGTGGGACAGCCCTACCCTGTCCTGCTGCTTGGGAGCAAGAACTGTGACTTGCTTGCCCCTTGGCTCTGCCCCTAATACCAAGTCCCCTGGAAATGCTGAGTGCATGCAGGAAAGAATGAGGTGAGGAAAAGGAGGGGAAGGGAGGGAGAGAGGAAGATGCAGAGTCAAGTTCAAGGGTTTGCAGAGGGAAGAAGGAAGAGCTAGGGGATATCCAGCTGACTATTCTCTCAAACCCATATGGTCCTCACAATGATCATTCGTCCTGTCTCAGCCATGGCAACTATTAATCTAGGGATCTCATTAGAAAGCAAGTTACATTCAAGACCATTATGCCAACTTATCCTTTAATTGTGTTCTTTATCTTCTATCCACTCATACACTCTATCCACCCCACCATCTGTCCAGCCGTCTGCCTGTCCATCCCATTACTCCCCATTGTCTGTCTGTCTGTTTGTCTCTCCATACATCTACCTGCTTATCCTCCTGCCCCCTTCCCAGTGGCAGGCAGGGCAGTTTGAGGGCCAGAGGGAGCTCTGTGTCTGGCCTGGAGACAGAAGGGGTGGACGGCTCCATACCGAGCAGTCAGGGAGGAGGCTCTGAGGAGCAGCCTTGAGATCTGACCTGTCCTTGCAGCCTGGTGGATGAGTTGAAGGCCAGCAACCCAGACTTCCCAGCCGTCAGCAGTGGGATTTATGTGCAAGAGGTTGTGCCAGATTCACCTTCTCAAAGGTGGGTTCTGCAGAGGGTGCAGGCAGGCAGCAAGGCTGATGGGAGGCAGTCAAACACCCTGGTGGGCGGGTGTGGGGTGGGACTGGTGCCGGATGCGAGCTTCTTGGCAAAGTGATGTGGAAGGGGCCGATGGAGGAAGGGACGGGTGGATTCTGGCCAGTCCTCTAAGTCAGGAGAGGCCCAAAGCTATGAACTGTCCCTTAAAACCCTGGCCATGTCTCACGTTGGCCAGAACATCCTTTCCTTCTGGAAGCAGAGGATAAAGAGACCCCATCTGGGTGGAGAAGCTGCTCTGAAGGCAACTCTTTCACCAGCCAGTGAGCAGACTGGGTCTTCCTGAGCCTCGGTTTCCTCACCTGTACAATGGAGATGATTCAGCCTACTCTTTCTATGGCTAGAAGATTCTGTCAAGACAGAATGTGATGAAGCATTGTTTTCTGTGAAGTCTTCTAGTGTGGGAAGCATTAAGGGTTGCAACACCACCGCTGAGGCAGGCAGTGCTGCAATGTCACCACACACTCGTGGTAGGTCCACTGCCCAAGGAGGGCTCTGCTCAAGCCGTTTTTCCTCCTTGGCCTGAGTCTTCTTCATCTGTGCAATGGGTGGGGCTGGATCAGGTCAGTGGTTTTAGGCTATAATTCTGGGCGCTGGGGATAGTCTCTGTTGGGGTCAGAGCTGCTGAGGGGCAGAGGCCAGGTGTGGGGTAGAGGAGAGCCAGCCAGGCCACCCCAGCCCATGTGGACCCTTCTTTCCGAGAGGTCCTTGAACAACTCAAGTATTAGGGACACCAACCTAGTCCCTGTAGTTGAAAATCTGCATATAACTTTTGACTCCCCAAAAGCTTAACTACTTATAGCCTACTGTTGACCAGAGCCTTACTGATGATATAATCAGTCACTGAACACATACTTTGTATGCTTTATGTATTGTGCACTATATTTTTATAATAAAGTAAGCTGGGGAAAAGAAAATGTTATTAAGAAACTCATAAGGAAGAGAAAATAATATATACTATTCATGTGGTGGCAGTGGATCATCACAATGGTCTTCATCCTTTGAGTAGGTGAGGAGGAAGGGGCAGGGGGGTCCTTGCCATCTCTGGAGGGGCAGAGGCAGGCAGCAGGCCTGCAGAGAAATTGTTGAACCGTGGACACATGATGCTACAGGGTAACAGCTAGACTCAGGCCCTGAATTCAGGCCAGCCTGCAAAGCATCATGGACTTCAGCAGGCAGCAGTGACCAAGAGTGGCCATGTGCAGGGTCCTGCAAGGGCCAGAGCTGGAGGAGAGCAGCAGTGCCAATGTCTGGCGCTGACTGAGGCTGTGCTGTGAGCCTCATGGTCCAATGTTAGTCCTCACCACAGCCAGGTACATGCAGGCTACTGCCCCTACCTAGTTTACAGTTGGGGAGATTTTGGCTTCCAGATCACACAGCTGGTGTAAGTCAACCCTGACACTGATGCTGACATGTCCAGCCATGACACCACCAGCTTCCTTACTGGTGGTAGGAATTACAGTGAACCTAGTGTGGAAGGGAGGCCACCCGCCACCAAGCCAGCCCTGTCTTGCATGCGGAGGTCTTAGAAGCCTTAGTAACTGCGGTACCGTCCAAACAGACACCTGGGCCTCTGTAATTTGCAGAGTGTTTCCCACACAGGACTGTAAACATGGACACCGAGGCTGGAAGGGACAGGTGCCACCCTAGGCAGTCCTGCCAGGAAGGCAGCAGCCAGCATGTGGCTCCATCCTCACCAAGTGTGGGGGAAGTAGTGTGCAAAGTCCTTTGCTGATCATGAGATGCGTTCCCCTCTAGCATGAGAGCCTTGGGGTCAGGGAACTGTTCTTTACCCTAGAACCAAATTTGGTTAAATTGCTGCTGTTAAATCTGGGGCAGCCTGGCGGGCTACTTGTGGTGACTGGGTCTCCTTCCTGCGGCAGGGGCGGCATCCAAGATGGCGACATCATCGTCAAGGTCAACGGGCGCCGCCTGGCGGACTCCAGTGAGTTGCAGGAAGCCGTCATGACCGAATCCCCGCTCCTGCTGGAAGTGCGGCGGGGCAACGATGACCTCCTCTTCAGCATCGCGCCCGAGGTGGTCGTGTGAGGGGCTACCTTCCTCCTGTGCCAAACGCCAGAGCCCGCAGACGGTGGGGGGCACTGCCTCCCCAAGATCAGGACAAAGGACCTCCGTCGGTCCTCAGCTGGGCCAGCAGCTCCTGCTGGGCGGACCTGGATCTGAGTCCCAGCCTCAGGGGAGTTCCGGAGAGGGAGTCCGATGGCACCTAGTGCAGATGCTCCTGGAGGTCAACCCTACCTGCCTGGGACATCTATGAAACAAACTCCTGCAGTTCCTGGCAGTCCTTCTTACGGCATCCTGCCTCTGTGCCTGGGGTGCCTCTGTCTGCAATAGCCCCCTCTGCCCCCACCCTACTTTGGCTCTCATCACCAAGTCTTCTCCCCAACAAATATCTCCTGCCCACAGCTGGCTTCCCTTTGCCACGATATCTACCACATTTCCGGTGGGCTGCCTGTCCTCCAGCCTATACTCACGGGAGGGCAGACTATGCATAGCCAACCCCCTTGAGGGGTCCGTGTGGAGCAGGTGCTAAGCAAATGTACTCTGGGGGCAGGAGGCTGGCAGGGAGCAGGTTTTGGTGTTCTACAGTGTGGGAAGGTCCGGTCAGCTTGCTGCCTGGAGAAAGGTATCCTCCCTAAGGAGACCATGTATGGCCTGCAGGGGTGGTCCGGACCTGCAGGTCAAGGACTAAGCCAGCTTCACATTTTCCCATGCAGTTCTAGGCCATGGCAGCTTGTTCACATCGAGCCAAGTGGGTGGTCACGGCCTCTCCCCCCCTGACTGGGGAAGGCACGTGTCTCAAGATGTACTTGTGAGCTTTGCTGTCAAGCTGGTGCCCAGTGTAGCTTGTACTGTATGTTTCTCTACTGTATGGAAATTAAAGTTTACAGGAACGTGGTTCTCGGCCAGCAGGAATGTGTGGGCAGCCTCCCCCTCCACTGGCCAGAGCATTCCCTGGAGCCACACTGAACACGTGGCTGGGTGCACGTGCAAAGATGTGGCCTTGCACAGGCTCTGCCATGGCTACGCATCAGGACATACCATCCCTGGGGCTGCGGGTCAGGCCCTGGCTCAGTCCCGGCTCCTGCACTTCTTGCTCTGTGATCCTGGGCCTCTTCCTCTGCTCAGGAGGAATGCTGACACCAAAAGCCTCCTGGTGGCCTTGGGGGACTAGGTCATTGGTGTGGCTTTGGGAAACCACCTGGAGCTCCCACTGCACTTCACTATGTATGCCTGGCCACAGGAGAAGCTGTCTTCGCATCTGTCCCATGTCACCCTCACTGCAGCCCACTCAGCAAAGGCAAAGCTGAGGCAGAAAGAGATTTTAAAAGCAGGTCTAGGGACACAGCCCAGGTTGGCTGGAAGCAGGGCACTGAGAGCCATGAACTTCCTAGGGCAGTCCTTAGGACAGCTCCATGGGGGTGTCAGGGCTGAGGGATGAGAAGGAGGGTCCCCAGGGCTGTTGGCCAAGCCTGTGCTCTTGTGCCCAGCCCTCACATCTGGCTTCTGGTGGTTGTGTGACCACCTTCCCCCAGGGAGGGGTGAGCAGCAGAACTGCAAGTTCTTCCACACTGTCAGAGCCTGAGATTCAACAGGTTTAGATTATAAATGACCCTCTCAGGGCTGAAGCTGAGATCTGGCCTCAGATGACTATGGCAGCCACAGGATCCTGTGTGGCACTTTGGCAGATCTCACAGGAGACCCCTGGAGACTGTGCTGGGTTGTGGTAAGTGTGCCAGTGGCCCACTTCAGGATGAGTGAGGCTGGAGAGTGCTGCATCAGCGCCCACATGGAGCTGGGAGATGGTTGCAGCAGGAGGACATCCTGATCCAGTTCACCGTCCTCATTATGAAATATGCAGGTTCATTGGCATGGGCACTGCCCAGCCCTCCGTGCACCCAGGCCACCCCACTGCCCCCACTGGTAAAGTCAGAGCAAGCCCCAGAGCCTGGTTCAGCCTACCTCCCAGCCCCCACCAGGAGTGTGCCAAAGCCCCTACGCTGTGCCCCACCCCCACCGTGGCTCCTCCCCACCTCCCAAACTAATGGCTAGTCTGTTCACTCTCAGGTCTCTGCTCTCACTCTCATCCGGCAGATCCTCTGTTCCCTACATGTATCTTTGGTCTCCGACTGAGAGAAGGAGCCTCAGTGTGAGGGGCTGGGCTCGAGAAGAAGGCAGTGAGGGCAGTGACCTGGTTAGTTACCTGGGAGCCAGTCCTTAGGGGAACATGGGGACACAGAGCCAAGGGTGAGGACCTCCAGAGAAGCCTCCCAAATCTAAGAGATCACGGGGCACTGTAAGGATTTCTGGAATTGTGTCTGGGGGTTCTGCCTGGTCACATTGCCTATGCACTGGATCCTACTGTGTGGTGGGCGGAAGCCCAGCTTCCCTTTGGACACCTGTCTCCACTCAGCCGGGGTGGCCCAACACCTGGGCTCAGACTACTTTCCTGACCACCTGTGTCTGTCTCCACATATAGTGCAAAGCAGGCAGACTCACAGGCACTGTCAGCTCTGTCCTGCCCACTCACAAACGGGCTGTGCACTCCTGGTCTGTCTAGATCAAGTTCAACCTATACCCAGCATGAGAGACCTCCCTACACACTGAGATCCAGTGTGGGGGCCCAGGGAGCATAGCAGGGCTGTGGAGTCAGGAGGCTGAGTTCAAATGACCTCTCCAAATCTCAGTTCCCACATCTGTAAAATGGGGATATTTTCTCAACATTTGGGTTCACCTGAAGGGAGGCAAACAGAATATATAAATGGAGTCCCAGCCTCAGGGGAATCTGGAGAGGAAGATGACAAGCAGGAGACTCTGGATTTGGTTCCCAAAGAGTCCCTGAGAGTTTGCTTCCCTTCCATCCTTCTGCTCCCTGCCACCAGCCCGACATGACCATGGCCATTCCCTCCCTGTCTCTAGTCTCAGGCTTCCCATCTGTAAATAGGGAAGTAGGATGTGGGGGTCTCTGAGCTTGAGAGCCAGTGGGCCGGGGCTGTGGTCTTGGTTCTGATGCTTTCTAGCTGACCTCGGTCAGGGCTTTCAACTCTGAGCTTCTGTATCCAGGGAGGCCACATCCAGAAGAAGAGGGACAGCCAGCTCTCAACAGCCCACTCCTGATGCCAGAGGGTCATCCTCTCACCTGCCATTCTGGCCCTGTGTGGCCGGAGTGGGATCTGACCTTCTCTGAGCCCCCCAGGCCTGGCTGCTGCCCAGGTAGAGCTGGCCTCTTTGGCTACTTCTCCAGCTGCACTTGGTGAAAAACAACTTTTCCAGAGCCTGCCAGCTGTGCTGGGTTGTGCAACCGTCGGACTCCTATGCAACCCAACCCTCTGGGCCACTGCCCATCCCTCCACTATGCATCCGTGAGCCATAAATGAGGTGCTAATGCCTGGGCCTGTCAGGAGGTGCACCTGCTCCAGCCTCATCCTCAGCATGCACCCAGACCACACAGGCACAAGACCAGGGGGAAGGACTTGCTCCCGTCACACGTGGGCTACTGGCTGGCTTCCAGGTGACCAGGGACAGGCTCCTGACTGTCCCTTAGGCAGCTGTGGTGCAGCTGCAGCAGGACAAACATCCGCTCCCCTGGTGTGGGGTCCTCCTCCGGCAGCTGACTTGTGGTCACTGCTGCTTCCTTCTGAGTCCCTCCCTCTCCCTCCAGAATAAGTGGACCCAGAACACACTGACCAAAGAAGGAAATTCTGGAATAGGTCAGAGGCGAGGGGAGCACAGGGGAGCCTGGTGCTGTCAGCCTGGCCTGGAGCAGTGCTGGACAGCGCTGGCAGGGACCAGCAGCACCAGCTCTGCGTCCTGCCCCTGCTGGGTGCCTTGTAGACTGTAGGGTGCTCTCAGCTCCCCCCGACCCTTTCTGCAGTCTGGGTCTTGGGACAGCTGCTTCCAGTCTGGAGCCCTCATCTGCCATGTTTCTGTGGTGGCTGAAACATGATTCCCAGAGGTGTCCAGGTCATAACCCCCAGAACCACAGAATATCTTACCTGGTACGTGGGGTTTTGAACATGGGACTTAGGGCTCGGTGCCTGTAGCACAGTGGTTGGCACCAGCCACATACACCGAGGGAGGAGGGTTCGAACCCAGCCAGGGCAGCTAAACAGCAATGACAACTGCAACAAAACATACCGGGCATTGTGGCAGGTGCCTGTAGCACCAGCTACTTGGGAGGCTGAGGCAAGAGAATCACTTAAACCCAAGAGTTTGAGGTTGCTGTGAGCTGTGATGCCACAGGACTCTACTGAGGGTGACATAGTGAGACTTTGTCTCAAAAAAAAAAAAAAAGAAAAAAGAAAAAGAAAAGAAAAGAAAGAAAATGGGACTTTGCAAACATGATCAAGTGGAGGACCCGAAAGTCGAGAGATTGTCCTGGATCGTCCAGTGTGGCTGTCGTGATCAGGATGTCCTCATAAGAGGGATGCAGATGGGGTTAGAGGGAAATGAGAAGATGTGACAGCAGAAGTGAGTGGTAGAGGTGACCTGGGGAGGGGCCCAGAACTCAAGTGACTTCTAGAAGCTGATAAAGGTAAGGAAATGGCTCTCCCCCCAATACCCCCCAGGAGGAGCCTTCTGGTTGACATCTTGACTTTAACCCAGACAGATGGATTTTAGACTGGGCTTCCAGGACTGCCAGAGGAGAAATGTATGTTGTTTTAGTCCACAGCGTTTGTGGGCATTTGTCACAGCGTCCGCAGGAAACTGGCACGCTCTCTAAATCTCACCTCATGCTGCCTTTGCTCCCAGAAGATCCCAGCTGGCCCTACTGGAGGACCTGGACCCTTGAGGGCACGCGTGGCCTCCAGTTCCCCAGTTCGTTCTGATGCTCTTCTGGACACTGACGCTTCCTCCCTGGAACAGCTCCAGGACCTGACAAACTGCTTAGATCTCAGCTGTGTCCCAGAAGCAACCCAGTGCCAGGAGTATAGTAGGTGCTCAGTGGCCCATTTGGATTAGAATGGGACTCATGAACCTGAACGTTCATTTTAACTCTACAATTCTGGGCCTATGCCTGCCACTTT